TATGTTAATCTGATCAATATCTGTGCGGCAAAAAAAGTCTGATTGCCTCATTGTTTAAAAGCACTCAACACTCAACTGTCATTGTTTATGTCTTGGTTTTGTTCCTCATTGATGACTTGAAGCTCACTCAGCCTAACAGCATTATCATAGATACCAGCTTGCTTGGGAACTAAAGGCGGCTAGTGCGCAATACTGACTACGATGCCACAATCATGCATTAGCAACGGAATTTTCGAGACTTAACCTTTATAGCAGTCTGCTGAAGATGATTCGGTTATTTATTTTTAGAAAATCTCTATTCTTGTAGTTATATTGATCTTGTCAAGATTTTATTGTGCCGGAAAAAAGTCTTTACACTTGTAGTGATTGACAAAATTTTTAAGGCGCACAAAAACTCATCACACTTATATTGATTTCGTCAAGATTTTTTCTTGCACTGCAAATTACAACTTAACATTTTACAGTCGTATTTTTAATCACATTTATTAGGATTACAGTTAAAAGTTTATTTCATTGTCTGACTAATTTATCTCTCCGTGTAAGATTATTTTTTCATTGTAGTAACAAAGCTTTAATCACTTGATTTTCATTTTGGTCCATTCAGTAGTTTAAGATGTAATCCAGAAATAACCAAAAACTATGATTTTATTTTTAACAAATTAAAATCAATTAAGTCGCCTGATAATGCGAATTCAAATTGATTCTGAAGAATGTTGATAATGAATATTGGTTCCAAAACTTATTGTTCTTATAATAAGTTTCGGTAAGGGTAGAGAACATTAATCCCATGACGGAGTGGGACATGGGTGTCCCTTTTACATACTTTTTCTGGTGCTCTAATTATAAGCAAAAATATATTTTGGTAATTTTTTAATACAAAAAAATTCTAAACAAATCGGAATTATAATTGTACTAAAATATAAAATCAAAAAAAAAAAAAAATAATTAAAAAANACTAGTACACATCGAGAACATTTCAAACAATATTTTTCAAATGGTATCTAAAGAAAAAAAAAAAAAAAAATTGAAAAAAATTGATTTTGTAAATTAAAGGAACTTCAATGGTGAATAACTGTTCCTCTTAGATTCAACTATTTGCAAATAAGTGGAAATTTAAAAAAAAAATTATTGGTTAGAAATGAGCTGTATTTGGAAGTTTTTACCTTTAACGCAGAAAAAGACACAGCTGTTTCATGCTGTATTTCATAAACCTAAATTATTAAAATGCTAAATACGATATTTTTCACTCATTTTGATCTAAATTAAAACAAAATAATGAAAAATATGTTTATATAATTATGTTACATATTTCAAGTGTTATTTTCTGGCATTTCTTGAATTAACCCTTTGCGCATGGTGTACCATGCTATACCATCAAATGTGGTTCACATGCTATGCCAGCCGTAGACAAAAGGTTAAATATTAGATAAATAATAAAATATTCAGTTTGAAAGGAATAAAAAGTCGAATGATGAAAGGAAAAATTTCAATAAAATGAATTAAAATAATAAGTTGGCGCATATTAACAAGAAATAAATATCTCGTATTTTTTCACGTTCGAACAAACCAATTTTTATTTTAAACCATTTTTATGATTTTTTCTTCTTTTAACGCTATGACGCAGTTTGGACAACGGTGTCCTCTTTACATATTTTTTTTGACGATCTAATTACAAGCAAAACTACATTTTAGCATTTTTAAATAATTATAAACAGTCTAACAGTTACTAGAAAAATCTGTTAGAGATTATTGGAATTATATGTGCACTAGGATATAAAATTCATAACATTCAGTTTTGAAAATAAAAATTTAGTCATATTCAAAAATTTATCGATTATTGATTTTGTAAGTTAAAGAAAACTTCAATGATGAATAATTGTTTCTCTTAGATCTAAATAGCGGCAAATTAGTGCAAATTTGAAAAATTATTGTTTGGCGGTTGTTAGCAAGATTTTATTTTTAGCTGAATAATACTTTTTACTGATTTCGATCTAAATCAATACAAAATAATGAAAAAAGAATGAAAAATATGTTTAATAAAAATTCTGCGATAAAAGGTTAATATTTTTTTTTTAAAATTTTGAACAAGGATGTAAATTGGACAATGTAATAATCTGACAACGTAAATATTTAATGCAATAGTCCGGGAAGTTAAATTAAAGTAGTGTCTAGATTTCGAAGGTAGTTGTAATAGCCGACTACAAAAATGTAGCTTTTCCGACCTCTGAAGAAGGGTTAATTGGATGGATATTAACCGACAGTAAAACATCTTCGCAATATTATTGGTTAATCTGAATAATTTTCATGTAGTTCTAAAAACATGAAGTATTAAGAAAATATTTACGCTCTGAATCAAAGAATTTTTTCGCAGAATCTTGTGTCTAGACAATTTCCATTAAAGGTTAATGTCTAATTCTTAGTACTAAAGTTCCAAGCGTAAATGAACACAGGTGGAGATTTTTGTTGAAATTGAGTCACTTCTTGCACGCAAGCAACAAAGAATATTCTCGTTTTCAAACAAATGTTTCGGAATAATTGGCGAAATTAATCCAATTTTATGGTATAAAAGCTTTTGTCGCACTCTAGAAAAGTTAGCAACAAACTTATCGTCATTAATTAGCAGCAAATTATCAGGAATAAATTGACAAAATTAATAAAAATTTTCTGGGATTAGAGCTTTTTCAGTCATATAAGCAGAAGTTAGCAACAAGAATATCGTTTTCTAACAAGAATTTAGGAGTTATTAAACTAAACCGATCAAATTTCAAACGATTAAAAATAAGCAAGAAAAGTTACAGATATCGTTTTCCAACAAGTAATCAAGAATTATTGACAAGATTAATAAAAAAATTTGCCGAAAGCTTGAAAAATTAGCAACTACCATCATTATTTAACAAGTTATTAGGAATAATTGACAAAATTATTAACTTTTTCCGGGATTAGAGCTTTTTCAGTCAGATAAGCAGAAGTTAGCAACAAGAATATCGTTTTCTAACAAGAATTTAGAAGTTATTTAACTAAAGCGATTCAAACGATTAAAAGTAAACAAGAAAAGTTACAGACATCGTTTTCCAACAAGTAATCAGGAATTATAAACAAAATTAATGAAAGATTTTGCTGAACGCTATAAAAGTTAAACTTATCGTCATTACCTAGCAAGTTATCAGGAATAATTGGCAAAATTAACATTATCAGAGATTAAAGCATTCGTAGTCATATAACCAGAGGTAGCAACAAGAACAATATCGTTTTCTGACAAGAGTCAGGAGTTATTTTTCTAAACCGATCAAATTTCAAATTATTAAAATTAAGCAAGAAAAGTTACAGACATCGTTTTGCAACAAGTAATCAGGAATTATTGGTAAAATTATTAAAATTTTCTGGGATTGAAGTTTTCGAACAAGCTTCGAACATCGTTTTCGAACAAGAATTTATGAGTTATTTTACTAAACCGATCAAATTTCAATGCAATAATGAAAATAAATAAGTAAAAATAGAGTAAAATAAAACACCCTTATCTACAGCATTTACACTTATGATATTTAGAAAATTTTAATATAAATAACATCGATAAAAAAATTTAAAATGAAAGTGATTAATTACAATGAATTTATGATGATTAATTGCTCATACGAAACTGTGAAAATCTTACAACTTTTAAAGTTACTGAAGAAGATGAATAGCTCAAATATAAATCTATTTGATGACTCAGAGATGACTCATTTTTATGGAAATATGGCCATGATCATAGAGGAGATCAATGAATGCATCATTTGAGAGAGAAACCTTACTGATTCAGAAATTCTTTTTTGGAGAAATTAAAAAAAAGTTTCGTTAAAAAAAAATTCGCAACAATTATAAACATTGTAAAGGGACTTTCCTCAAAACTTTAATTTTTGGTAAGTAATGTTAATAAAAAGATCTACAATTAGAACAATTATACAATTAGAATTCCAATCTACAATTAGAATTAAAATTAGAACATTCCAGATAGTCGTAATATATAATCGAAATTTTAATTGGCGATAAATTGCGATTGCAATAAGTGATTTCAATTGTTAGAAAACGATTGATTCACGCATTGGCCTCAGGTATAAAGTGTCTGTAAAAATTGGAGATTGGTGTAAAGAGGTTGAGAATTCTTTTGAAAAATTATAACCTCTAGGATTCAAAAGCAAGTTAAGTATAACAGAATAATAAAATTTACGTTGAAACAAAATAGATTCGATTTTAGGGAACACTCACCACCCAAGCAAGGTCAAGCATCTAGATCTATCTTTTAACAGGCATGGCAGAAATTGCCAAGCAATTTTGATCCCAGTTCGATGACCAGGACAGCACCTGAGCTTTCACCCCGCTCTCCAAACTTCAACATGACACAGAGATGCTAACTGCTCCAGATTGAACAAAATATTAAAATAAAAAATAAATAAAAAAAAAACGGTAGAGAGCTACAAACTAAAACGTACAGATTTTCAGTGGACTTTGCCAACTTTTTACAAGGCTTACCACTGCTTAACTGCAACAATGTGGCTTATCACATAGGTTTTTGAATTCGAAGTAGTGGTGAGTAAAAACCCTACGAATCCGAACTTACTAAAAGAAGAATCATACATGCAAAGAAATTCGAAAATATATATCCACTGTCCGGTGTAAGTTGGTATCTCTGCAACCTATAAATCTAGTATGGAAGCCCAATAAATCGAACTTACTAAACCAAGAATCATACAAAGAAATTCGAAAACATATATCCACTGTCCGGTGAAAGTTGGCATCTTTGCACCAGAACCGACGACGAGAATTTATGCCATATGACATGTTTAACGTGCACTTTGCAGCATATACAAGCCGGTTGCTTAGTCGGCTGTCGAGATCGAACTCACGACCCCCCCCCCTCAGCTCTCTGCCAGTTAGGAGACATCAAGTCATTAAAAAAGCCGCCAAATTGAACAAACTATAAAAAAGGAAATTAAAATGGACAATATAGTTAATTGACTTACCTACAGAAGCTGATAGACCAATCAACTCTTGTTGATGGCATCTCAATGCAGAATTTGCTAGAACCATTTACTATCATCACAGTTGACTAACAATTACATAGTCTAAACAAAGAATAAATAAAATTACCATATTATCCATAATGTCATGAAGTACTGTAAAATGTACATAATATAATTCAAATATATATGTTACTGTGAAAGACCGAAATTTGTGGTTATAACTTCCACAGGTGAATATTAACAAACACCACATAGTCGTTTTGGTAAATGTCCGAAATATATACTAGGTTTAGTTAAGTGCCACTGCCCGGTATAGATTTGCTCCGTGTGCTCTACATCTATTTTTTTTTTAAAGGTCAAGTGCCACTGCCCAGTTTGCTTTTAACCGGTACTTCCGATCATTGTTTTTCCTAATGTATCCTCATCAGATATTAAAATATCGAAAAAATACAATAATAGCAACGAATAAATTAATTTTTGCTTCAGTTTTGATTTAAATTGATTTTGACCACCTAGACATTTCAATGATTAAAAGATCTGCAAACATACTAAATTCTCTGGAAATTTTCCTCAGACATTTAAAGCAGAAGCTCAAACTTATGATTTCAGTTTTGATTTAAATTGATTTTGACCACCAAGACATTTAAATGTTTAAAAGATCTGCAGATCTACTTAATTCCCCAGACATTTAAAGCAGAAGCTTAAATTTATGATTTCAGTTTGATTTATATTGATTTTGACCAGACATTTAAATGTTTAAAAGATCTGCAGATCTACTTAATTCCCCAGACATTTAAAGCAGAAGCTTAAATTTTTGCCTTCAGTTTTGATTTAAATTGATTTTGACCACCAAGAAGACATTTAAATTATTAAAAGATCAGCAGATCTATTTAATTCCCCAGATATTTAAAGCAGAAGCTCAAATTTTTGCTTTCAGTTTTGATTTAAATTGATTTTGACCTCCGCGATATTTAAACGATATTTATAAAGACAAACATACATTTAAAAAGACATACAGACCTGCCAATTACAAAGGGGACTTTCCCCAAATATTCGAGGTAGTAACTAAGCTTATGCTTCCAAGTTTCGATTTAAAATGATTTTGAGAACTGTGATATTTTATTAATTCAAAGACATACAGACCTGCCGATTTCACTGAATATTTTTCCCCAAACATTTTAAGTTGTAGTGAAATCTGGTCTTCCAGTTCTGGTTTTAATTGACTTGGACCACCAGAACAACATTTAAATAACTAAAAGATATACTAACCTGCCACTTCTCTTGAGTTTTATTCTCCCAACAACAATGGAAAGTTTGTCTTATAGTTTTGATTTAAAATGATCGTATATTAACACCCTGTCAGCAGGAGATTATTAATATGCAACATATCAGCAATCAGTAAGAACCCACAACTGATAATAGCACAAATATTTATGGATGGAAAAAAATTATCTTAAAAAAATTTTAAAATTCATACAATTTGGTGAATTTAGAATAAAAGACACCCGAGAATTTTTTTACGTTAACAACAGATGATGGTTTCTTAAAAAAAATTTTTAACTTTAAAATAACGCAATTCAAACAATTTTGTACATCTCTAATTAAAAGCATCAGCGACTCTTACGTATTCAACACAAAAAATTAATCATATTTATTTAATCTTAAAATATTCCTAGATGTAAAATAATCATGCATCTTTGTGAATTCACAATTAAAAAACACCCACGAATCTTTTACAAGTGCAACGAGAGACGGTTTCTTATAAAGAAAATTATTACAATAAGTATTACAATTCACACAATTTCGTGCATCGGGAATTAAAAGCATTCGAGAGTTTATAACGCAGGGGTTTCCAACTTATATAAGGTCGGGGGCGGCAATTAAAAACACCAGTCAAATGGCAGGCAGCAACTTTATCAAAATTTTATATAGGACTCTTCAAAGTTTGAAGGAACATTAAATATTACTGTCGGATTTTTATCAAGTTGTACGAAACATAATTATTGAATTACAAATAATGATAAATATTTTCTTGAATCAATATTTTCTTGGATGCAAAACCTGAGAAATTTTTTTTTGCACCGTTGGTTTGCTAAATTCCACAGAAACTAAGAAATTAGGTTTTTTTTAACGAAAAGTACTTTAAACCCATATAGATTTTTTTGACAAAAATTGTCTGCTAATATATTTAACAACTAATATATTTATTAAGTACAAAAAAAGGCTTCGTGGGCCGCATGCGGCCCGCCAGTTGGTAACCACTGTTATAATGTATGCAACGAAAGACGATTTCTTAAAATATTTTTTTAACGCAATAAAATTTTGCAATTCACACAATTTTGTTTACGCAGAATTAAAAACATCCGAGACAGTTTTACGTAATTAACGAAAGAATTTTTTTTAAATATTTTTTTTAAAAAATACTCCGAGTTATTATAAAATGATTCATACAGTTTTGTAAATTCAAAATTATGAAACATCCAAAATTCCTTTACGCATGCAACCGAAATCGTTTACTTAAAATATTCTTTGAGATTATAAAGTAATAAAATTTCGTGGATTTAGAATTAAAAGCATGCGAAGATATTGTGCTTAATGCAAGGAAAGTCGGTATCTTTAAAAGATAGATTCACATTTCTCAGACACAAAGCAGCTTTATCTGCCGAAAGATGATCGTGTTGTTTTCTAAGTAAAAAAAAAAAAAATAACTGAGAAAACTAGATTAATGATTCAAGAAACATTAAGTAGAATACATAATCGTATACTGTTCAAGTTAACCGACGAAAGGTTCGATTACGATTATATGTCAATGTTGAAGGAATCATAAATGAAAGACAAATACGAACAAATAAAATAAGTATCAAAATAAAATATGTATCAAAATATGTAGTATTTCTCACACCATTTAAGTTCTCTCAATTAATGAAAATATTTTTATTTACTAATCCATTGAGTGAAAATTTCTAAACACAAAAGAACTTCAGATCTGAAAATTGGTTATTAATTTTCGAAAAAGGAAGGAAAAAAAAATGCTAGTATTGAAAAACATTTCTCTTTTATTCGCTTTTGAATAGAGTTCTACCACTATTCAATTAATTATAATTATATAAATATTATGTAAACTTGTTTATATGACAGTTATAACTGTTGACCCATGCACTAGCGATACATTTTCTATTAACGTAAATTTTTTATTATTTTTTAGAAAAGATAAGTTGAAAATTTCCTGCCTAACACTTCAGTTTCAAAAAATATTGCAAGTGAACCATTTCAGATAAAAATATTTATATTAATAACCCTGCTGTATCCCCTCCCCAACCCTGTTTAAAACGGACCCTTTGCAAACCATTTTATTGTTGAAAAGGAATCTTTCAGGAAATATTTTATTGCAAAAATTCATCCTTCACAAACTATTTGATTATAAAAAGAAATAATTCGCGAGATATTATGCTGCGAAAAAGGACTCTTCAAACTATTTTATAGTAAAAAGGAATATTTCAATAAATACTTTATTGTGAAAACGAATCCTTTACAAACTATTTTGCAGTAATTTTTTTTCTCATGAAAAATTTTATTGTGAAAACGGACCCTTCAAAAACTATTTTATTAAAAAAAGGAGCATTTCACGAAATATTTTATTGTAAAAAGAAATTTTCCCGAAATTATTAAATGCGAAAACGGAGCTTTTACAAACTATTTTATTGTAAAAAGAGACCTTTCAAGCAATATTTTGGTGCAAAAGTGTATCATTTACAAACTATCTTATTGTAAAAAGGAAACTTTTCACGAAATTATTTGCGAAAACGGACCCTCCACAAACTATATTATTGTAAAAAGGAATATTTCACGAAATACTTTCTGAAAACGGATCTCCTTACAAATTAATTTACTGTAAAAAAATTTTTTTCACGAAAAATTTTATTGCGAAAACGGACCCTTCACAAACTATATTATTGTAAAAAGGAAACTTTTCGCGAAATTGTTTGCGAAAACGGACCCTTCACAAACTATATTATTGCAAAAAAGAACTTTTCCCGAAATATTTTATTACAAAAACGGATCTATCACAAACTATTTAATTGCAAAAAGAAATTTTTCACAAAATACTTTGTTAAAACGGATACTTGAAATTTTTTTTCTTCTCGAAAACGGACTCTTCACGAACTATTTGATAGTAAAAAGGGACCTTTCGCGAAATATTTTATTGCAAAAAGGTTACTTAAAAAAAACTATTTTATTGTAAAAAAGAATCTTTCGCGAAATATTTTATTGAAAAACTATCGTTTATAAACAATTTTATTGTGAAAAGGAAATTTTTCGCGAAATATTTCATTGCGAAAACGGACATTTCACCAAACTATTTTATTGTAGAAAGGAATATTTCCCGAAATATTTTATTGCTAAAATGGACGCTTTATAATCTATTTTACCGTAAAAAAGATTTTATTACTAAATATTTTATTGCGAAAACGAATCTTTCACAAATTCCTACATTTTGTTTAATTTTTTATTTAGTACCAAGGTACAATACCCTGTATACAAAGATACAACATGGTACTGTACCTTGGGATACTTTTCAATTGTGTGAAAAATAACTTATTACTTACTCACTTATAGGATAACATATTATTTATTTCAAAGTGGTTACAGATTCTTTAATTGTTAGCAATAAGACATTGTTTACATTTCTACTATAATCTTTTCAGAGATGCCAACTTGCACCGTTTTGTAAAAAAATATTTTTCAGTGGGAGCTAAATGTAAGCCATTTTTAGTTTAGTATTTTTCACATGTATATAATTTAAGTAATTTTTTCACCACTGCGTATCAAAAATACATAATATCATATGAAATACAACTTTATTACAGTTATGTCGTGGTGCCAATTGTAAAGAATGGGCGTAACTACTCATAATTTGATATTAAATAGCATACTGTTTAATTCGCTACCAATTTATTTAATTTTATAACCGTCATTGAACAGCCGACCCAATGTTGGGTTTACGACTACTAATGTTCAACTCCGTAGCCTTGTGATTTTGAACCAAATCCAAAAGACAAAAGAATTCCTGGATCAAGTATAGGGAGAAATTTTGCCTTCGT